ATTTTGTTCATTGCGGAATAGGTCCATTGCGCGAATAAGAAATAATTATCAAATATTCTTAAATGTTTCCTTGATGTCTGTTGTGGTTTAATGACGACATTTTCGAAAGCTTAAAAACTCTAGGTAACACATGATGGAAAGTAATGTGTGTCTGTCTATTCATAGTGAAAGTATTTTTTGAGCAAGAATTAGTCAAAGCAAATATTTTATTTTCATATTTTTTTTATTCTATAAGACTATATATATTTTTTTTATTCGTTATAATATATTCTATTTTAACTAGGGGTCTTAAAATAAAAGCCCAAAAGGGTTTCTAAAAGATCTCTAGCCCTACGTATAGATTATAAAAATGTAAATAGTTAAATTTTATTGTACTTTGGAAAATTGGGCGAAATAAATTAATAATAATAATAATAATTCACAGATATGCAAAAAAGCAGTTGCACCCTGCTGTGATGTTATGCTGTAGCAATTTTAATGTTTGGAACAAATAATTTGGAACATTCTTGCAGGCATATTGATCCTCCTCTCTTGTCTAATATAGGTGTGTTTTACTTAGTTTTTCGTGCAGCAGATGATGGGCAACCTGAAGTGATATCAGAGTGAGAAAATAATGTCAAGTCTTATTTCTGTGTGGTTTTTCAAACGTTTTGGACTTACTTGAAATTTCCTGAAGGAATCTGCCAGGAAAAAGTCAGTGTATATGCTGTTCCATTTGTGGACACCTCTGGTTGTTCTATAAGAAAATATGTAGACTTATGAATTCTTTAAGTAAAATATAAAGCATGAGCGGTTGCCGATCTGTATCCTTCTAACTAATTGAGAAAAGCGAAGCTAACGTTTATCTAAATCAATCCTTTCTTTTATTCATTACGTCATAACAAAAGGCAACATTTACTTCCATTGCTATAAATTTCCCTTCACTTTCACCGTAGGGTTCCCGACCAACTTTAGCACTTGCAAGAACACGAACATGCATAAAATGTCTTAAGCAATTAGCTCATTATAGCTGAGGAATTTGAAGGAAGAATCATATACTATAGTGAAACATGCGTGAATATCTTAATTTAGTTTGAAAGAATAGTAACTTAGGTTTAGTTTAGGTTTCCTCCTGTAATACTACACTGGATCAATAAGAGATGATCCTTATTGGACCTCTAGGAAGAACAGTTTAGAACTGATAGAGCTATCCAGTATAAATAAAGTTAGTTTA